TCATATGGTTTACTTTGAGGACCCACTATCCTTGTTTGGACATTTCCCAAAAGGCTCTCATCCTTTCTAAGCAGTGGGGATGCACTGAAATTTTGTACTGCAAGCTACCGTCGTACGTATGATTTCTACAGCCTTGCAAGAATACCAGGAGTCAGCGCACCTGTCTATGCATAAGCTGTATAACAACACACGTCCTCACTACATCATCCGTGTAATTCACATAATAAAGATTCTCATATTCATAATTTTGGTTCAGGCTGGATTATTTTAAGATTGTGTTAATTCTTCGTTTGGCTTCCAAACCTTCCACACTATCCCATAAGGTGTTTTAACCTGTTAGAAAGAAAGAGGTAATATTTAACTTTCATCGCAATTTCTGGGAATTTTCAGCTACAAGGTTAGATCCACATCTCTACAGTGTGATAAGAAGTTATTCAAACCGTTAGGTATTCCCTCGTATGACAAATGAGTAGTGCTGGGAATCGCACATGCACCCTAACTTTGAATTCTAGCTAGGGTACTTGACTGCCTCTTGAGGAAAGAATTGGCTACCTAGATTCAGTGTTCTGGTCTTGAGCAAACCATATATAATATGGTGCATACATCTCCGATGATTCTTTTAAAGGCTATGCATACTGCCCGTAAACATATAAAATACTGAGCTGCCAAGGAGGAAAAGTAATCCATGACTTTTCTATCGTGACTTAATATGACTGTCGAATTCTTCTGAGTCTGAACTGATGTAATTGTTATTGTTTCAATGTAAAATGACCTGGCGCATGTTAGTGCCCTTCGCTTCACTAACTGGAAGCACCCATTACTTGGCCATACTGGACAAGTTGTCAAGATACTCTTGCGATGTAAGCATGCCACTGGCTTCGTGTGGCTGTCTTAAAATTTATCTGGGAAACCATAAGAGGTTCGGTTAGCAGTAGAATTACGTTGATACAGAGAAAACATTAGAGAGGGAGAAGCGTAGCACTTTGTGAAGTACCACTAAGTACCGTTGTCCATGAGAAGGATTTTGGGCCGACCTTTAGTATTTGCCTGGTAATTACTGGATCCACTTTAGCAGTTATCCCTGGATTACAGAATTTACCGAATTTCTCGCCAAATTTTCGTGAGGCACTTTGACAAAGGCCTTGTCAGAATCAATGAAATTGTCGTCAGTGAGTTTTTTGGTATCCCTAGGCTTAACACAGCTTCCACCTACTGAGGCGCGGCTAGCCAAACACAAGAGGTCACTTGAGAAACTTGTGTGAGCTGGATAACGGATATGCCATGGCCGATTATTATTCCATGCTCTTGATCAAATCACTGGCAAGACCATAGTTTTAAGGACAACACCTGGATTCACTTTTTAAATGGTGGTTGGACAGCCAACATCCCGAATACTCAGTAACATTCCACATGAGTGAAACAGATTTAAGACTGGAGCCCATCAGCCAGATATGTGGTCTGGCAGCTCTCTAAGCAGCCTCCGGTCAAGGCTACTGAGCGCCAACAATTTTCATAGGAGTTGCTTCATTACGGATTGAAAAAATTTCAAGCTGGTGGATACGGCTAAATCCTCATTGTCAGCGATTTGTTTAGCGAATTCCGTCGTATGTCTTTGGCCCTCATTAACACATCCCTTAATGGCTTTCAAGGCGTACTGTAGCCCGGACTTTTTGTCATATCAGTAACGCCAATTGCGTCGTCAATGTTCGAGAACTGGTTGCTTTTTCTCCGTGATAAGGAACCACTGCTGTCCAGAAACTTCTGTATTCCGTCAAACACTTCTGTAACTTCTTCTATACATCCGTTGAGTGGCAAATGTTTGAAGGACCTGCGTCACCCTGGTGAACTGCAACTTTCAGGCTGGAACATTAAAAGTGAAACCAACTTTGCAGTAGTCTACTGGATAGTGATACGTTGGTTTCCCACACTGGTTAACTCTTGCTGACATATTCGTAGAAATTTAATGCACTGGGACGAAAAATATAACATTTACGACCTGAAGAAACAATAAGCGGATTACCGCAATTAAAGTCCCAGGGTAATACAAAATTACAAGAAACAAGCTTAAACACGAAATTAATAATGGGTGGTAAACCAATCGATAATAAACAGCTGTCTCTTAAAATCAGGAAGCCCTATATGTTAACAGTAGCTTGCATAAAGTGCGTTGAATTTTGAACTGCTCCAGGTGCATAGTCGAACTGGACGTTACGTCTCACTTGTGGTTATGGTTTAAGGCGGTGTTGGTATCATGTGAGTTGTCGACTGGAAAATCTCAGAAGGATTTTATTGGTTGTAGCTGTCTTGTTGTTTCAGTCTTTCAACAGATTGCTTAATAATGTATTTCCCTAAAATTACTCTGTCCATGTCTTCATATTTCCAAGCTAACAATAATGCTGAATTATATCCCGCTAATTCAGAACTAATTCAAACATTCTATAATGATTAAATCTCGAAATTTTTAGATTTTGCTCACAGAATAGAAATCAGTACTGGTTTTCAGCATGGCTGGCACTGATTCAGTACCCTGTGCTTTTTCTAGGCATTTTTAGAGGTGGCTCAGAAACTTTTGGGTTTCCTAATCAGTGTTGTTTCAGCCCTCCCAGCCCAGCACTGACCGGTATTGCTTCAGAACACGTAGGCTTAATTCGGCGCACCTTGGCAATTTTTCAGCAGTAAGGGCATTATTTCAGCTCCATACCCTATTTTTAAATTTTCGTCTGATTAATTAAGCATCCATTGTTTCAGTACATAGTTGGTTCATTTCAGGTAGATAAAATACCCACTTGCCATAAAAAGGCTTTATCGACGCATAGGTTAGAATTAGTTAAGAATTATTGTACGCTTGGTTTGATAATCATTCATATTTGGTCTGTTGGCTGTTTTTGAGCTATGGTCACCCTGTTGAACATGAATTTTTGTTTCGTAATACTACGAATGAATTCACCTTAACGGGATTTTCCTTAAGCATACCAAGCCAATTCTACAATAACGTGGGGGACTAGTTTAACTAATTTCATACTAAGCGGATAGGGGTTTAAAGGTCAGAACCATGGCTGTATTAGTAGACAAAAGGCATAAAAGACCCCAAGATTACCATAATACGGAAATAATGCTACTGAATTCTGGAGTGTCTTTTTATCATATGGTAAGTAAACGATGAAAGGACGCTGAAGTTGAGTGCCTACTGGAAATTTCGGAGCGTCTTTTATCCCCACCTCAAGCTCTAATTCACCACTACCAACCATTATTTCCATAGTCCACTTCAGCATCCTTTCAGCATTTACGTCACAAAATCACTAGTCCGGTGTTTGCTAGCAATATTCCCTTATTATGCTAAGCTTGCGACCAGACGCAGTATTAAAGGTGGTAGTGATGGTGGGTCCAGATTACCTGACAGGTCGCACGACACATTAAATATGCTGCAATTTCATCACTGCCTACAGTCTTATATCCGAAAACCAACTTTCCACTCAAAATACCTTTAGCGTTAAGAATGTACGCTAAAATACAGCACCCATATTGATGTTTATAACATCAGTACGTATAATAACTTATCTACTCAAACTTTAGACGAATAATTACTAAATCAAAACTTCAATGACCACAGTGGTTCATAAATCCGCTTCAGGAAACGGTGGACAGGCTAGTGACTGATACGTAGTTAAAAGTCGTGTTTAAACCAATGAGCTATATTTCCCGTTTTAAGACCTGAATAACTTTTCATTGTACTATACAGTCTGCTTACATACTAAGGATATGGCTGGAATGGATATGCAGGAGAGTAAACATATCATCAAAATGAAATGTCGCACGACTACTTGACCTAACAAATTGCCACACCGTTATCTTGTGTTCTAAGTAGATCATACAGTAAAAAAGTAAAGCAACAAGCCATACGTCACAAAGAAGCAAACTAGAGTTGTGTAGAAAATGCATAGAATACAAATGCGTCTGCACCATTGTAGTAATATAATAATAATATGTTCTGCATATTGGTTAAAACGAATAATCACTGTGTCAAAAATAGTTATCGAAACAAGTGCCCAGTAAAAGTGCATGAAAACTGTTTATACCGTGAAAAATTTAATTAACTGGTTAACGAGACATAAGCATGAAATGAAACATAAATTCCGACGTCGTATACGTGGTGACAGCAAATCTCTCAGTCTGTGTATATAGTACATTTCACAAAAAGTCGACCAACAGTCTTTATGTGATGAAGGCGTCATCCTTATTTTAACTAATCAATGTCACTTGTAGCAGAGATGTAAGTCATTGATTTCGATATTGCGTAAAAGCGGAGAACTGGGATCAAGTCTTATTCCACCCACTAAATTTGGTCAGTTAGGTAGTATCTTTGACGTATTAATTTAGTTTATTTTAATAAAACACAAAAGTGGTACGCTATGAGAACCAAAAGATGCGCCACGCAAAATCCTATAGTTTATGCGGGGGCTGTAGTACTGCCTGGATGCCCAGACCGAAGAAGGTGGCCACATCCCGAGTCTTTGACTGGAAGCCTTATCCATAAGGTAGCAGCGTCAGGAGATGCGTTTCCAGTGTCCAAAAACATGTCCATACGCCAAGTAATCCCTTTGGATTTTCGACCCTGTGTACACCATGGATTTAGAATCAGGCTTTTCCAGCTTCCTTCGATAGACCAGCATGCCATTCGTCCTGTCACTTTTTGTGAGAAACATCACCACCTCATGAAGGCAGTGAATGAGACTTATTTGGCTATGAACGCGTAGCCACATGTAAGCATTTCGGGAGGACCGAAGTCTACTCACCCTTAGCCGTACCAGGTTGTTTATGGGGGCCATTAGCGCATTGGTAGTTGTAACCTATAGGGCAGTGCACTGTATGTGTGATTAGTTAGTCATTTACATCAATATCTATAGTGTTGTGGAATAATTGTACTTCACTTTACTGCACATTTCTTTAGTTCTATTGAAGAATACTTGAAATACTCGTGTTGCTATTTCAAACAAAGAGAAATGGTTAAGGAAAACAAAGCACACAATTTCGAACTCCTGCAAGAAAAGGTAACACATAACCTGACTATTTTTATTATCAAAAAAAAAACAGCTTGATAGGGAGACAGATGCACTCGAACAACGAATGTTAGACGTAAAACCATGGTATCTTCAAGGTGAAGTCGCTGCATCCGGACGAAGTGAAAATGCTTTGCTCGAAGAACACTTTGATGTACAGCGTCATGGTCTTTTCAGTAAGTTGTGATGACACAATCAAACTTTTGTTAAGAACCAGGTGCTCAAGATGAAGATGTTATAAGTGATTTTATCATTAAAGCGATAAAAGAAAGAGTAAGTAGAATATTAATTATTCATTGATGCACAGAATTTCGACAATCCTGTTTTCAAAGTTAAAGAAGTTGAAAAATTATCCAAAGAACTACCACTACAAAATGTTGTTCAAAAATCACTGGTGGAAGATTATGAAACGTTTTTAAAAAGAAATAAGGTAATAAAAAAGTGTTTCCTACATTGTTGCTTAAGATTCTGGAAGAAGACCAAGGAGATCCCAAGAAAAATGCGATTCAGGCTGAAATCCTAGAACTCTTTGATAGCCTAGACAAACTTTCCAGTCTTCATTTTGTCCCACGCAAGGTAACAAAATTATTATTTATATATGCTGAAGTTATATATGCATATCTTTGTTAATCTACTTTTAATTTCGAAGTGGTACTTCGTAACAAAAAGTAGAAGTCGGCACAGGTCCCACAATTACTAAACCCGCCTTTCACTAAAGAAATGATGAGAGGAACAACATGCAATGGCAGTTTCAGATTCCGAAAGTAACGCACCATGCAGACAATATTTAACGCATAAGTATAAAAGACAGCGAGAAAATCCAGCACACTTAGAACTGGAGTTTTAATAAATATGCTGCATGTCTCATACTGACACCGTCTATAAGATATTGGCGAGCTGAAACGAATTATTTTTCAGTTAAACGCTTTCAGCCTGCAACTACCTAATCACTTTTAAGATTCAAATTTTTTAGTGAGTCTCAACTGAGTCAAATAGCCGAGGAGAGTACTATCACGATCCACATAAATTTAAAAATATTCATTATAAATTAAAGTGGCAGCTTTAGGATAACTAAAGAGTTTTATTAATTTGACCCCTAACCAGAAATTATTCTGGAACTTTCCTATCCATTTGATATAAATACACGAATGTACAGCCTAGATGATGACTTCGTCGAAAAGAAAATTTTCTTCTTTTTATTAAACTCAATTTACTAAGCGTAATGAGTAAGCACGCGTAGATTTACCAACTGTTTATGGTTAAACCCTTCATGTCAAAGTAGATAACATCCAGAGCACTTGTATGGTGCATTTGGAAAAAGTTATCCTTCGTCACATGTCTTAAGGTGAGACTGACCTTCAATGTATATAAAGACATTGGTTAAAATGAAGGTTTTCAATTACCAACCTAAAAGTCGACAGAAGCAGACCCTACAACCAATTGCTGACAATGCGAGTAGAAGTTGCGAGTTTGTCTTGTTGAAGTCAAACAGTAGCAAACTGTATGTCGACTCAATATCTGACACCTGCTACACTTTTTGACTACTTGGTCAGGTGTAATGCATTCTTACTCCAATGCATTCTAATATCTAGAAGCATTGTCATTGGAAATCACTTCGAAAAGACCGACATACGATCTGGAACAAAACATCAGTGTAAATGAAATAATAGTGAGATACAACTGCTAATTGTGTGCATGATTGCGAGCCATTCCGCTCATGGAATTCGTTAATAATTCTTATAATATTAGTGCTTACATTGTTGGAGTAAAATCAAACTATTGAACCAGAATCCCAATCCTAAGTGGTTGAAAAAAGTGAGATATATGTCGTCAAGTAAAATTCCCATGGTGTGCTAACTTTCAGACTCGACCAATACTTATTCTGCTTTTATTTGTGTTTAGCCTGCAAATACAAGATCCGCCTTTGAATTGTACTTTATTCTCGATAGCAGCTTTGTATGGTGACATCCTTTAACGGTGTCAATGCAGCTTATGTTGATGAATTATTTACTGAGTTGAAAGTGACTTTTAAGTGGATGCATCTGTAGTTTTACTAGTCTGTGAGGAGAAAGAAATGAATATAATTAGTACCCATTCTCAAAAAAAGTGAAATATTAGTCCTGAGGAAATTGGTTTAGTTAGAAAGGTACCTTGCACGCCAAGAAAGCAATGTACAGTTTCAATAGAATGCAATTGCAACTCATTGACTGATTACCTAAGAAGATTCACATTATTCTCAATGTCGCACCATTAAAACAAATACAACTTTAAGAAATCTCCATAGTCTTGAGATGCGTATTATGCGCTATTGAGTCAGTCGGTTAGTATTATGATTGCAATTATTTGAAAAATGAAGGACTGAATTTTACTAACACACAGAATAGGCAACTAACGGTGACAGCGTTATCGCTGCTAAAAAGCAAAAACTGGCTGGGGCACTCATAATTTGATCTATCAGTCGAAACTGTAAACAATAGTCTTCGAAATTTCCATGCCATTATCTATTATCACGATCATTGGTCTTTATAATAGGCCTAATTCAGATTTCTGACGAGTATATGTTTATAAACTACTCACTCAACAGATTACACACATCCTTAGGAAGTTGTGTAATAGAAAAAATATGTCTATTTTTGTACGATTCATCTTTCTTACTCAGTTTATGCCGCTTCTGAAGTGTAATCGGACAGGATACCTAATTTTTGAAAATTGATATCCACTTTTGTTTTCAGTACATACCTGAAGCCATTACTGCCAAAAACGATGCAGCTTCAAAATTAGAAGAGCTTGGACCTATGGTTACTTCAACAGCTGATTTGTTGGCTCCAGAAGAAGTATGTCCTCCGAGAGGCGAAGTAATTATTGGCAAAAACGAACGTACCCTTGCTGATCGCCGGCGGCACCGACGAAAATTGATGAGAATAAGATCAAAGAAGTTAAATCACAGCAAGAAGGGCAAAATAGACGAAAGACAACTGGCCATGGTTAAGATAACTAAGTTGGCACACCGACCAAACTCTAATATCAAAATTGTAAAGTAAAAATGAATTATTTCCTTTCGCATTTTCCAAATGTATTTTTTTCATTGACCACAAATATACTGATATTTTGTATCTAGTTTTACCATTTGCTAAGCGAAATTATAGATAACATGAAATTGACACTAAGCAAATAATACTTAACGTTAACGCAATGGCTAGAAAAATATAGCTATGAAACACATGTGCAACTATACTATTGCGAAGTACTTCCCGTGCGTAAATTTTACCTAGCTCTAGCGTCACACTTTCCTATTTGTTAACACATTCAGTGAGTCACACTGATTTGTTTACTAGTAGCATGAAATTTGTACAATAGTAGCAACTTTTCAGCTGAAAAACAAAACAACTGATACAGTATAATCATTATTTACAATTATAATTTGATATTCATATAAAGAAATTAAAACCATGCGTCATAATTAAGGCAAGGTGTTGAAGATGACATTGCTTGAAGAAAAAGTACACATCTGCGAGCAGCATCTGCACGGGCACTTGCTAAGTCGGGCATTAACTGACTTTTAATTACGTGAGGTGGTAGCGTGGAAAGCTCAGCGAAACAGTAATTCATCCCTGTAAAAAGAAAACATCCAGATTTAAGTAGCAGATTCCTCAATTTAGATATAATTAATCCTTAGTATTTGAAAGCGTCATGTCCACCACCTGCTGTACCATTAAGCGTTGTTGCCATACGAATCCACTCAAACTTTGAGCATCTACTCAACAGTTGGTAAACAAAATGCATAACAATCGACTGGTTAAGTAAAGGTGTAGTGAAAACCATCAGTAGTTCCATAATTGACCGCGAGGTCCAAAACCTGAAGAATCTTTTTCTACCATCGATCGTGTAGCAAATAAATTGCCAAAAGCCGTTACGCACCGAATCATAGGCTACTGCAATTCACTTGGAATAACCGGACCACTGCATTTAGAGTAAACAAGTTCAGCCACTCTTGCTACCCTGGTGTGCTGTGGGATCTATAACTTCATAAGCACTGCATTACGTCGCCCCTTTTAGGTATGACATGCCATCCTGTATATATAACCCCTCCCCACCCGATTATCATTGGACTTGTAGAAACAAGTCTTTTGTTTTCTAAAGTGAACTTAGTCATTAGTTTGCACACTGACACGCGCATAACCTTCTAATCCATTGCCTCTCCTTTCTCTTGATATTATATTATTATTCATCTATGCGAAGTTGTAATCACTATGAACATTAATAATGAGCATTCATTACTACATATTCGTCGTTATTCATAATCTTTTTGGAAAAGTGATGTTCAATTTTGTGTTAAATTTATACACATTATCATACATACATGTTTTGAACTATCATCATCCATAGAAAATCTGTTCGCTTATAACTCTAGGAATTTTGATGTCTATGATTCGATTTTCTCTCTGCATCGGCGATTCAATGGTAGGACACACTCGCCAACCACGAACGTGGCCCGGGGTTCGATCCCCGACCGAGGCACTCCTAGATCTCGCTTAGCCGATAATATGCCCGGTAAAGAGGGGAAGGTTGGATGTGAGTCTATCACACATTTTTCAGCTATCATCTAATTAGCATTCGCATATATATATATATATATATATATATATATATATATATATTCCTCCTCTTCGCCATACTTCACTCAGCACACAAAGCAAGAGAAGAAAGTAGGAGAAATGCATAATATAGACAGTAAACAGAGGTGTGAGACAAAGGAATAGTAATAACGAAGAACAAAACAGTTTAATTGGAAATCATAAGTCACAAGGAGTGGATGCATCTGCGCCAGCCATTGAGAACGATTTTGAGCCATATCACTAATTGTTTTCAACGATTGGTTTCTACTGCCCCGAGGACCCCAACCAGGAAGTCTACACCTTCCTACGTGGCTTAGACTAACTGTAGTAGATTTCATTGACTGGTGCCATGTTTTGGTTTGACCGCCGCTAGCTCTTTTCCAGCCTGGCCCTATATCAGCTAACATTGCCCATTGTCGAGGAAGGCGATGACTAGGCATATGTAGCACATGTCCTAACCATCTCAGTCGATGTAATTTCACAGCCTCGTCGATTGATTTCCCCTCCTTATCTAGCCCTGGACGCCTAACCTCAATATTGCTCACCTTATTGTACCACTTCACACGGGAGATAGAACACAGACACCTATGATCGAAGACAGCTAATCTTTTCATGTCTTCCCCTCTCAATGGCCAGGTCTCACAGCCATAAACGAGGACGGAGCGGACTGATGAGCAGTACACACCGGCCCTTTGGTCGATATCACGTCTACGCCGGAGACGGTGTAAACTGGCATATGTGAAACTAGCCCTCTGTATTCGTACTGAGATTTTGTCAGAGATCAACCCGTTGGGGCTGATCTGTTATTTTATAAATTAATAGTGTTACTAATAATAATAGTGATTATGAATACATAGTTGTAGAGCCTGATGGAGACTTTACTGAAGACAGCATTCTTTGGTCATTAATCAGTCTTCAGTCAAGAGAACTCAATTTTTATTGCACGGCTTTTTTCTGACTGCCGCCAACAGCCTGAAAATAGTAGTTACCATGTCAAGAATAATTTGACGCCATTAGGGTTTAGATTATTTTAAAGTAAGTTATATATCCACATTTATAATAACTTATATCATATTTAGGCTGTTAGCAGTTGAAGAGAAGTTACTGAGAAATTTCTGTTTGGGATTGACTACAATATCGATTCACATCTTGCATAACTGACTGATATATGTCATGGCACACAGCTGTTGTCTACGCGAAGACAACATTGCCAGAACTGTTCTCATCAACGTTATAATCCAAGTGAAATAACTTCTGTAAGCATATATATATATATATGTTTTCGTTTGAACCATGAGAACTGTAAAGCCGAACTTCAGTTGAGGTGGCTGGTGCATGTATCAAGCGTACTTGCTGAGTGGGCACTTTTACTGATAAATATTTGTTTGACTTAACCGAATTATCCCTGTAGAATTTTGCACAAAAGTGCATCAGTTTAACTGGTCACACCGGGAACACATAAAAACGAGGGGAAGAAAGAACTAGGTAAAGACTAGTAAAGATTTTTCGAATCCGAATGATGATAAGGAATGAATATATCTATGCCTCTTAGATCCAATTACAAAGAAACAACACTAATCTTTAGTTCTTAGCATCTCAAGGAATACAGCCAGGAAGTTTACACCTCTTTGCATAACTCAAGCCAACAGTCAGTGACCTCATGGACTGGAGCCATGTTTTAGTGTAACTACTTCTGACTTTCTTCCAACTTAGTTCTACTTCAGTTGACATTCTACATCACAAAAGGTGATATTTCGGCATGTATTTTGGACATATCAGTCGATGGGACTTCACAATCTCATCGACCAACACCCTACGGCTAACCTCTTTACAGATAAAAATATTGCTTTACATTCAACTGTTACGGTCTTTGCGCATTATGTTACACTTGACTGCTCATGTTAAACAGACTCAGACTTCCACTCAACGTGTTCAAAGGACTGTATTTTGTCAGCGTCTTCATCTACAAGGATAATAATATCACATGTCTACTGTAGGTCAACGAGGCTATCCTTTGGTAATAAACCAATCATGGAAACCATGTATTTGATCTTAGTCACATTCCTTAACATACCTAGTGTTCTCGCATCAACCAGTTGAGATGGAATGGCAAAAATCCTCCGGTGTTCACTACAATCAGACTGCAGTTTTCGGCATTCTCTTTATAGTAGATTAGATATGAAGCCAAACTTCTTCAGAGTGAGTTTTGCTGTCACGCTCATATATTTGCTTAATTGTCTCCCATCTAAATTCGGAATCCATACTATTATCAAAAAGCTGCGCAGTCCCATGTTTTTAATTCTGTTTACTCGTTGATACGCACGTAAATGGACTTGTATATGATCGGAGTTAACGCAAAAGTTCCAGAAGGAGTGACAATCTTCCAACAACCCTCTCCGTCAAAAACTTAAGGCTAAGTGGTCTTTTTAACCCACCTGTTAACTCCATATTGGCGGACATCAGATGACAGAGCATCCCTCCTCAACAATAAAAATAGAAATAGTCAGGAAAAGACACTCATTTGAAGACGATTTCAAGGGACAACCATTGTCGCCGGTTCGTTGGCGTCGTACACTGTAGATGACCTCACTATACTTTTCGGACTGAGTCTGTTCCCTACTTATGCACCTGATAAAGTGACGGTATTTGAGTACTTTGCTTCTAGACATAGCTTTTGATAAAACTCATCCTTAACTTCTTCCGAACTGCAGTTAGATGATGAGTAAGAGAAGAATATGAAAAGGCAATGACACATATCACAGCTTTTATCCCTATTGATTCATTCAAGTGGACACTATACAGACGAATGTCAGGTAATAATTTGTGCTTTAGAGCTCAATATTATGCATACACCAATAAGTTTCTGAGAACTAGTCGAAGAGTCTTCTGACACCTGTTGGGTAAATTCACTGTGTTGATCAGGTGGGATCCAGTAAATATCTATATTTCGTCTAGAATGTGTGCCTCACAGACACAAAACATTTAAAGACTTAGTTGCTGGAGATTCGACTGATGAGATTTTTATTAAAGACGCAAACTTAATATGATATGGACAGCAAGAGATGCGCTATACAAAAACAATAAAACGACAGTGTAGTCAGAAGGGAAATATAACAGTTGAGAAGCACCATTCTGAAACTCGGTAAGCATACTTATCAACATCATACTGCTTTCAGAAAAGAATAAGCTGTAACATCTTTACAATTCATTTCGATTCTCAGTCATATTCGACAGTTTTCAACCATTGGCTTGAATCATCTGTCGAATCCCAATCAGGCATTTATAATGCAATAACATGCTGACCCAACACAACCATACTTACTCCTACGGTGCCACCTCATTGGCAATGAACAAACACACATCCGCAGCTCGGGAAGGTCAGTTTTTACAGGTATACAGCTAGACTGTACTCACCGAAGCATCGTAAACCATAATCTTGCAGACTAGTTTAAGTGATGACGGCGCTAGAGTTGACCCAAACTAGTGCATGCTACCCCATTTTCATTATTAAATTAAAAATTTAATCCAACACGCACACAAATATTTGGACTACTTCCAAAGGTTTAACTTACGATAGTGACTGCAAGTAAAGGATCCTACCAATCTAACCAATATTTATGGCAATATAGCACCATCCAGCATATTCGATGAGTCACTGCGATATGCAAGCCTGACCACCTTATTAAAGTAGCACCTATCGGTCGAGATGGTTAACTCAATTAAAGATTTAAGCTTTTACTTTGTCACAATGGTGGTTAAACTGTGAAACAGTTACGTTATTTGAATCTATAAAACTAAACAACCTATGAGCCACAGACATACGGTAATACAGGGAACAACACAAGTACTTACCTTTCTCGTTTGCCGATACGTATGTATACACAACTGTGATTTTTGCACATTCACAAATACTCGCAAGATACTCACATGGATTATTCAGACTTTCCATGGTATCCATTGGTGGAACTTTAACTTTATTACCCTTAGTGTTCCATAGACCACGAAGCGCTTTAGAGGAAATACGTACAGTTGCCTCGCTTTCCAATTTATTTTCTTTTACGTTGGGTTGGTCTTGTTTTTCAAGCTGTAATTTGCTAAATAAAGAATATCTTCACTTACTAAAGAAAGGGTTTCTTCTTCCATGTATTCTAATGCTTCTTGTGGTATTGTTAAGTTGTTCTTAATAATGTTATTCAAAAGTCCATAAGCAGCTCGTCGCTTAGCAGACTTTTTGGAATTTCCAAACCCTATAAAATATACATATAGAACGCACCATAAATTTACCTGTATGAGTCCACTTCCATAATCTAACTTTGCAACTGTACTCATTACCTGACGGAAGACATGGTGCTACATCTAGGAATTCATATGATGGAGGAGGCCAGATGTTTTTCTGACACATTTCTTGTAATCTTCCAACAAAGTTGCCTTCTTCTTCTTGTTTTATTTTACTTGGTATACCATCCAACTCCGCGTCATCAAGTGTGTCCATGAAATCAGACCCCAAAATATTGGCAGCAGCAATGTGTATGTCTCGCAGATTACATTTTTCTGACTCGGTTAGAAGTCGACTATTCAACATTTTTAGCAAAATCAGGTACGACGCCTGATGTTTGGCTCGTTTTTTGCTAGCCCCTAGTCAAAAAATTAAGAGGTTGAACAGAAGTTGTACTACCTTTTGAAGTAGCGCTGAAGGGACCAGCTGTACACAGAAATACATAAAGTGGCTCATGGATTGGTCCTTCGCTTGATACAAGTTCATAGATAGGAGTTATGCCTTTCTTCACGCAAACTTCCTGCAAAATGCTGATCGGCGTACGATGTGTTGATATCGCAGACATTCAGATTACAAATAGATTGAATTCGCAGTTCAACTGACCTTTGTGAATACAAGAAATTTAATTGATATATATCATAATACAAATACACTCGAGTGCAACATGGGCATCAAGAATTGTGCCATTCAAATTATTACAGACAGCGAAAAATATGGAACAACTAGGTAGACATCTCACCAAATAAGTTGTAAAAAGAATTTGCGGTGCCTTAGACAGTAGTGCTAATGATTTCCATTGTGCCATGTCTGATAACACTCCGAGTCACTAAGCCATATGAACTCTGGGATCACACTAACATAGTAATCTGCTGTCCCACATTACTACTTGATAAGTTGATCATTTTCTGATTCTTCCAAACATTTTATAGACTAGCAATGTATTTTCCCTTGGTAAAAATATGAATTAACGTGGTGAATGCCTGTAAGAGCTTATGGGACGATATTAGCCCAAAGATTATGTTTCGCACAAATGCATGCGGAAACCCTGCCAGTGGAATGTGAGAAGATCGTAATGGAAAGCAAGCGAACGGGAACTGTCAAACCGAAAATCTGTAAACAGACTGATGTCTTCCCACCCCTTGCTTTTTAAATTACTGGATTATCCAGAGAGAAGGGCGGTTGCTGTCTTCAAACCACTCAGAAGCGCATAAAGGGGTATACTAAATAATGGTTTCTTCGCTAATGGATTTACACATCCAGAGGTTGATGTGGCATAAAGGACAATTATCTGTAGATATCCTTGTCATCACATGGTGATGGCAACTTGAATATGTAATAATTTTGTTCTGCAAGTTAGGGGAATGCAAGAGTTTAGAGGATGGATTTTATCCTTCTCCAGTTGGCCACAAGTACCAACGGTGTAAGACAAATTACGTCTTCTTATTGCTTTATCTAAATTCATAAAGGGAACTAATTGTTTTAAATCTGAATTATTTATTGTTGAGTGTACACAATGGTATGTTTAAAAATAAATTCGCCCTTTTGTTTTATATCCTAATTACGTTAATTTTGGGAAACCTGCATAACTTTAAATTTACATGTTACAACACTATATGATACTACGATGTTTTTATTAGACCTGGAAGTAGTGGAAAGCAAACACCTATTAAACACTACTTAAAGGGTACCTAAAATATTTAGTTTTAAGTAACGAAGTGCACACCACAAACTTTTTCCCAGAAGAGTTTCATAAAACAATAATTTATGCGTAAATATGTGTGTACCATCAATACTGGTAATCTTACAATGTCGATTAACAACACCAAGACTCTGAACAGATTTTTAGTCCACAGGTAAAGTACTTGTTCATGTCAGAGAAGCAGACAGTATGTTCCTCATTATGCCAGTGTGACGCCTAACTCTCATGACCTCTGCATTTTCTCAAAGGTAACAGGTTTATTATTTCACTAAGATTGCCTCAAAGCATTTGCATTGTAGGTTAACTTTCGACACGTGTCTCTATAAGTTGCTTAAATACTTAAGCTATTCTGAAGAAAGGATTCCATAACTGTGACTCAGAAGTTTTTCAATCCTCTACATACCACCCAGTAAAATGGACTTACTTTTCCTAACTAAATTGAAGACATATGTAGGAAATTGTTACTCAGGTTATTATCACTTTTAATTTACACCAGTTTCCACTCTAAGATGCATCTGTTACTAGAATTCAACTGTTACACTAAACATTAACACGTAAGACAAATCTAGGTATACGAACCTAGTGGCCTTAAGTGGTTCAGAATTACAAATTATGTACCCGTGATATTTAGTCTTAAAATACGGCAAACACTGTCTGATTAGTCGTAAAACTCAAGGGTACATTAGGCTACAACGACTGTTAAGAGTAACATAGGAATATCTACATTAGTCACACATTGTCGGTGAAAATATCAATTGAAGTAACTCAATTGCTTTAACGCAATCACTGTGATTGAGACTCTACGGATAACTTCTTTGACTGAAATCCAGATTCTAAAACACCTAGGTATATACAAATACAACATATTGAATTTATACACTACGCGTAATGTAAATGAAGAGAAGAATTAAGTTTTGTATTTCTTTTCAGTTACGACTTCTTACATATACTGTCAGAGGAATCATGAGTCTCACAAATATTTTTGCCTACTACTTAACTAAGAGAGCAGTACAACACCAATGCACTTAACAACATATTTTAGGCTACCTGTCATGATGCCGATAAACTTTGATCGTAAGATGGAATACTTCTGATGAAATAGCTTACCCAGAGAATTAGATTTGCGTTCCTAAAAGTCCTGCTGGCATTTGTAGGTGATCTTCGTGCAATTAACTTTTACACCCCAAAAATTGACATGATTTGGGTGCGAATAAACTTTAATTCTCGGCAGACCTGTAAGCATGTCATTATAAAAAATACACGAATTAGAAATAATAACTATTTTACGGAAGTGGGAAAATCTACCATCCTATTGCATATCTCTCCTTATAACTGCAACACTTGTATAACTATCAGTATATACACATAGACATTCTCTTAGTATTTGTAACGCCAGCAGATCACGTTCAACGTCTTTCATAATTGCTTATTGTGGAACGAACTTCTACGTTCAATAAGTGTTTACCAATCTCTCACTGAATCCCATCACATTCTGAGTGAGTTCTTATCTACAAACATCTTAAAATCTAGTTACCCATACTTTAATCATATAAGCTATTTAAATAATAGAACTACTGGTGCTAAAAGCCCCAGTGTAATACTACCAATTTGACGGAACCCATTTGCCCTAGACAACCTATGTATACATAAGCTGCTGACCAGATAACTTGTGGAACAACTTTGATCACCTTAACAACTCAAGAAAAAATAAAAACCATTCTTTATAGAAGGATCATGACCCACACCGCACTTACATAGCTCTATACAAGTGATCCCACATGTGTGTAACCACTCACTTAATGTCAAGTGTCACATTATTTGCAACAACTGATTGTACAAACCTAGGACATATCAATATTTGTCTACCAAAAATATGAGATTTCCCAATAAAAAGGTTTAACTCCATGCTAAAAATGATTCCGTCTATTCATTCTATACTTTGTTCCTGTTCCCATTCGTAATCTGATTGCATACGGACAGATATATCAGCCACAAGTGCTATGCTTTTTGAATAAAGCAGAACAACAATTTGTCCAAGATAAAACTGTACGATCATTCATTCCGCCGGGTTCTCATCAGCTGCTTACAGCCGTAGGACATCAAATTAATGTTTTTTATTCTCTAATGTCTACTGAACAACTTTGAAAAAATAATATGTCGTTGTATACCGCATACAAAACTTTCTGGTAACTACATAACTAACACTACCAGGGACCCCGAATTTTCACAACTCCTAGGTCAAAGGTCACAAGTACCGCTACACCTTGAAAAAATCTGTTGGACTGCCAATATCCAATGTGGTTTTAACGAGGTAGTATAAACCAGATTGATTTCCTTGTGCTCGCTTCTTGACTGTAAGGTAAAGATTCATGGTCTTCGGTAAACTTCTGCTTAGTTCGTCCTGTCACTCAACTATTGTAGCTTTGGTTGACTCCCAGAGGATTAGTACTGGGATTAATTATATGTTGTTTGCAGTATACGGTGTGTTTAAACTTTGTTGCTACTGCTAAGAGTTGATCCTTTCACCAGTTAGTCCTCCGGTTTCGTCGTCAAAGGAAAAGAGACAATACTAATAATAATAACAGATATAATTAGTGTAGGTTATTCTGAGTAAAAGACAGAAAAATAAATAAACAAAACGTAAAAACAGACAGCTAATTAAATTTGGAGTTGATATATGTACATAAATATGTATGTATATAATATCAAGAATAATAAGTGTAAGTGTAGTAGCTGAAGTAGTCAGGAGAGTAAGACGGGAGAGAATATTACGAAATAAAACGACGAGTTTAGATGTCTACCCATTGATGTTGTATGGGATTTTAAGGGGATAGGCCATTTGGACGCAGTTCTTGTGTCGATGCATGATTGTGCAGTCTTTGCCTAGAGCTCTCCACAGACGGTTCCGCAGGACAAGCTCTCGTTGCACAGGGTGTAACTTGCATTCTGAAGCCTACAGATGCGTAACTTCACTACTTTGCATCTTATCACAATGGAAGTCGTACCACTGGCCACCACCCAGTCTTTCAGAAGCTTTAGATCTGCCTGCAGCCTATCTGAGTCTTCCGAACACTTTATTGCTCTTCATATCTTTACGTCGTCAGAATATAGAAGAGTGGGGCAGGTTAGACGGCAAAGCAGGTCACTGATAAAAAATAAAAACATCAGTGGCCCTGAGATAGAGCCCTGCGACACTCATGATGATGAGCCGTGCCAAGATGGTCGGACTCGATTCATCTTAGTGCAGAATTTCCTTTCAGCTATGTAATCCTTGAACCATGACAGAAGCGGCATACCTATACCCGCCTGACTTATGTTGTGTAGGAGGAGGTCATGATGAACTGCGCCAAATGCCTTCTCGAAGTCTAGGAAGACCAAATGGACTGGAATATTTATATTCCAGCATGATGTCCAATCGTTCCAAGCTGATAATAGTTTTGTTACACAGGATCTGCCTTCATGAAACCATGTTGTGCTTCATGGAGTCTATTAGTCCTATCGAGGAGCTCCCTGATGCGATCGTCAACAATACTTTCCAGTACTTTCGATACCACTGGGAGTAGGGCTACCGGTCTATAACTGGTGGCATTTTGCCTATCCACACCCTTGAAAATCGAATAAAGGATGGCTCTCCTCCACTCCCTTGGCAGCTTCCCTGAATCCATCGAGTGTTGGAACCAGTCGCATAAGGGCCTACAGAGAGCTTCGGCGCACTGTTTCAGAACAGATGGCCTGATGTCATCACAACCTGGGGACTTTCCAGGTGTGAGTCTCTGTAGTTTCCCTAGCACTACTTCTAGGTTTATTTGGAGTGTGGCCACTAGATTTTCCTCCGGTAAATTAGTAGTGCCTCCATTTCGGTCCGT